AATAAAATCTTTAAAAAAAAATTCCCATGTTTCCTCCAACCAGATTCTATAATTATCAACATTTTACTATATTTGCTTCATTGTTTCATGCATATTTTTTCAGAGCCATTTGAAAATAGATTGCAAACATGATGTCCTTTTACCCCTACACATGTCAATGTACATTCCTAAGAACATGTATAGGCTCTTAGCAATACAATTATCAAAATCAAGAAATTAATGCTGATACAATGCTCTTATATAATAATCAGACCTTATTCATATTTTTGCACCCATTTTTTATCTTGTTCCCTTTGTTATATAATTTAAAGGATTTCCAAAAGAGGTTACAGATGAACACAGAAAACAAGTAACAAAGTGGGAGACCTTAATCTCACTATATTAATAATTTCATTAAGTGTTATTTACTACTCCATTAGAAAGAAGAGATTGCCAGAATGGATAAAAAAGAGTATCTTAGCCCCATGTGCTGCTCACAAGAGATGTTTGTTAAAAATGGTAACTTTCCATGTCTTCTGGCCTCCATTTGTTTCTGATGGAGCAGAGATCACGCAGATCTTTCCTCCCTTTCATACTTCCCTATGTGTCATTTGTCATTTTTCTCTCGCCACTTTCACATTTTTCTCTTTATTTTTGACTTTCAGTGGTTTGGTTATGATGTGCCTCGCCATAATTTTCTTCATACTTAACCTGCTTGGTGTTTTCTGAACTTTTAACATCTGTAAGTTTATGTATTTCACCAAGTTTGGAAAATTTGGGGTTATTATTTCTCCAGATATTTTTCTTCCCCATTCTCTCTTTTTCTCCTGAACTTCAATCAAATATATATACACCTCTTGATATTATATACAACTCACTGAGGCTTTGTCTTTTTGTTTTGTTTTCATTTGTTTTTTTTTCTGTCAGACCTTCAGATTGAATAATTTCTATTGATCTATTTTCTATGTTCCCTGATTCTTGTACAGACCTGCAGTTTTAAAACATTTTTTTCATACTACCCTGACAAGGGCTGCTGCTATGCCTGATGTGGGGGGACTGCCTACTCCCGATGTAAATAGAGCAACATGCATGTTCCCTGATTCTTTCTTCTGTGTTATCTTATCATCTGTTAAAAGCAGCGAGTGATTTTTTTTTATTTCACATATTGCATCTTTTAGTTCTAAAATTTCTATTCAGTTCTGTCTTACTGTTTCTATTTCTCTTGATGAGATTTCCTATTTGTTTACTTATTGAAGCCGTATTTTCTTTTATGTCTTTGAGTAAAGCTGTAATAAAGCTGCTTTGACATTTTGTCTGCTAATTCCAAAATATAAATCATTTTGGGATTAATCATCATTAATTTTCTCTTTTTTCTTGATTAGGAGTCATGTTTTCCTCTTTCTTAAATGCCTAGTAATTTTGAGTTGTGTTCTAGACATTTAAGGAACGTAGATATTATGAATTCAGTTATGTTCCTCTGAAGAGGTTGGTTGTGGTTGATAAAGATTTAACAGGCAGTTATTTGGGCTGTATTCATACTCCATACTGTATCTCTCTTGTTATGGTGGCAACTGAAATCTCATTCAGTTCCCTCAGCCTTAGCTGGGATGCTTGAATCTGCTTCACACTTGCATAGTTCAGAGGCCATATGGCAATTTAGGCAAAGTATGCAGAATTTGGTGTTTTCCCTTTGTGACTCCTCTTTCCAGAACCTCCCTCCCTTCACTTTGCACTAATGTAGTAACCCTGAGCTCTGCCTTCTGGTTTTTGTGGGGTTTTTTAAAAGATTTTATTTATTGATTTGAGAGAGTGAGTGAGAGAGAGAACACAAGCAGGGGAGAGAGGCAGAGGAAGAGGGGGAAGCAGGCTCCCCACCGAGCAGGGAGCCTGATATGGTGCTTGATCCCAGGGTCCTGGGATCTGACCTGAGCCGAAGGCAGATGTTTAACCTACTGTGCCTAACCCAGGCACCCCTAAGTGGAGTTTTAAATAAAGTTTAGATGGCCTCTTTTATTTTATTATAATTACTTAAAATTTGAAAGAAAGCATTGGTCATTTTTGGTGACTAATCATTTTTGATGACTAATTTAACAGTGCCATTTAAAGTTCTAATTTCCTTTAAATTAACATGTTCTGCCATTACATTCAAATGCCTACCTACAATAACAGTCAGAATGTGCTACGAACACTTAACCACCCACACTGGAATTTTAAATCTACATTCTCTTTGAATGCTGTTTTGGTGACTTTCAATGTGGGAGGTGAGATGATTTAAAACTTCACATTTTTTATCATAGAGGCATAATTTTTCTGACATCTTTTTTCATTCTGGATAAGAAATTATACTAGCATAATGTTTTTAAATAAAATTTTTCCATGTAACGAAAACTTTTTTCTGTTCAATCTATCCAAGCTAAAAAAGCTCAGAAGCATTTATTTGCTTATCATAACTGTTAAGAAATTGTAGTCATTACACCTACCAGCTGTTCTCTTCCACATCATTCCACACCGGAATAGAAAGAATACATCACTTGGCTTCAGAAACTCTCCTGTATTTCTCTTTGTACTTCATCAATTGTTTGAGCCTTTGCACACCTGAGCAAAATATAGAATATACCCAACCCAGCCTCTGCCTCCCAGAGCTTGCTTCCGAAAGAGGAAAGTTCTTTTCAAAGTAGTAAAGAGGAAATTATCTTTTCTTAAGTGTCACAAGCTCAACAAAACAGAATGTGGATGTTACAGAGTTGGCAAGTAGAAGAACAGAAATAATATGTGCAAGGATTAGGACTTGTTTGAGTGTTACTGCTTGTCATGAAAGGCACTGGTATTAAAGGCAGATAACGTGACTGCGTTAGATCTGACCACAAGTACATTATCGCAGAAATAAATATCCCATCTTATATAATCAGGAATTCAAATCATTATTTTAATTCTTTATTACATGATCAACTAATATTAAAACTTAAAAAATCACATTAAAAAACAATAGCTAGATGATGTTGAACACATTTTAAACTAGACATTTAAAATAGTATAGTATTGGGGCGCCTGGGTGGCTCAGTCGTTAGGCATCTGCCTTCGGCTCAGGTCATGATCCCAGGGCCCTGGGATCAAGCCCCGCGTCGGGCTCCCTGCTCCGCGGGAGGCCTGCTTCTCCCTCTCCCACTCCCCCTGCTTGTGTTCCCTCTCTCACTGTGTCTCTCTCTGTCAAATAAATAAATAAAATCTTTATAAAAAGAAAAGACATGTTTCCATTTTAGATGAGTCAGGTTTCAGATAGGAAACATGGAGGAGCAGGGGTCCGGTTCTTAAAAAGGGGGGCTGGGTGGGGTGTGCCGGGAGTCCCAGGCATCTGGCTAACACAAAGCCTGAGAAAGGCATGTGGAGTGAGCATGTGGGGGAAGAAGAGGCCCACACCAAGTCCTCTGTGTGCCCTTGGCCCACCGTCCTCCTCCGGCTGCAAGTGCAGAGAACGTGTGTCACCAGAGAGGCTCTCCCCCCGTGCCACACACACTCACACAGGTTTCCAGACCAATACACTGAGTGATGTGTCATTGCTCAGAAGCGCTTACATTATATTTTACGAACAGCTTTTGTTAATTCACTAATATGAACACCCTTTTAAGAATATAAATTGGCATCATTAACCTCTTGCAATTAGTTCTTGGGAACTCTGCCAAATACATCAGGTAGGTCCTACGAAATCCAAAACGTCACAGTTGAACGTGACGTGGCAAGCATGAACCAAGCTTAGTAACACAGAATATCCAACACCTGTCAATACTCAATAAACAGGAATTGACGTTCTCGTGCATCACAGAATAAGTAGATCATTCATGGATACCCCCACAAGACTCAGACCTCATTTGAGTCCCTTTTTTTTTTTTTTAAGATTTTGTTTATTTATTTATTTGAGAGAGTGAGAGGACGAGAGTGGGGTGAGGAGCAGAGGGAGAAGCAGACTCCCCGCTGAGCAGGACCATGACCTGAGCCGAAAGCAGCCGCTTAACTGACTGAGCCACCCAGGCGCCCCTTGAGTCCCATTTCTGTGACGAGACTCAGGGTAAGCTGAATCACTGGCCCTATAGTGCAGCCCTTTCGGATGTGGTGTTGCAAATTTTAAAACTGACATTTCAAGAACCCACAAAGACATTAAATGTGTTACGCTTTGATTTTATTTGGAATCATAAGAGAAACATTTTTAATAAACTCTTAAATTCTTCTCCATTAATGTGATCCAAGTAATGAATTTATAAAGATTGAATTGATTTGTTTACATACACTCAACTGTAGAAAAATTATATTCTTTTTCTTTGTTTGTTTACACCATCAAATGCAATCAAGCCAAACAAGACGGTTAACTAAAATGATTACTGAATTGAATGTAGCATTAGCTGATGGCTTTAAATTTAGAATGTGTTACTGATGTCAGGGCTGATTAGATTCGTTCTCTATCTAAAACTGATGCTATTAAAAGCTTTAAGCAATTTAGAAATTTAGATGTAGCCACTGAGTAAAATTCCAACAGGGTGAGAGATATTCTATCAGAATTGATTCTGTGGTGGTGACTTTACATGTGCACAGATGTTGGTCGGGGGGCCTTCAGCGATGGGGTAGAAAGAATAGGGTGCAGGAGGGGTGGTCGGTTGGCATCAATCCAAGAAAGGTAAAGAGCCTTGGAATAGAAAAAGTACTCAGCTTCACACAGGGAATCCCAAATGGCATAAGGATATGACTATTGCTCATTTCTGTTTCAGAACTTTCGAAGAAGCAGGCAAAATAAATGAAGGGGAAGCAAGAGGTTAATACGGCATCATGCTTTAGTTACTCCTCTACAAATGAACCCCCAGGGAAATCATGGTAGCCAGTGGGACCAACAATTTTACTAATAAGAGGAATGTGTGGTAAGAGCAAGGGTGATCTACACACTGTATGGAATGATGATGCATCAGGAGCACCTCAGAACCTAAAAGCACACTGCAGGGATCAGACCCATCAAACTGCCAGGGAGAGTCTAATGGAAGAACTGTCCTGGTGCTCCAAGGAAAGAGTCCAGTCCCAGGGCTCTGGCAGCTGACTTGGGGAGATGTTGCTGGTAGGGATGACTTTGGAAAGGTGTGCCATGGGAACAGTATGCCATTTCCAATGTCTGTGACTTTAAAATATTTTATTACTGGTCCAAATGTCCTAAGACATTTTAAATGGGAAGGAAAAACATTATTTCCTGGACTGAAATTCTCTGGATCTTTAGATTCTGTTCCTGCGCAGGTGTGTGGGAGAGGGTATCTGTCAGTAGGTCAGATCTAAGCTGGAAGGCTCCTGTCACTAGTAATGCAGCTTAGCCATCTCTAGGAAAAAGGCAGCAAATAATTTGGATCCCTCTATGTAGTTCCACCTAACAAAAGAAAAAATAAAGAGAAACACTGTTATTTCCACTCAGTTCCTGAGTGTACAGATGGGGGAAAGTAGCCTACCATGTAAATAGGAAGATTTGGTAATGTGAATTCAATCTAAAGTACGTAGCACATGGGAAGGTTATGATGTGGAGACCCAGGGTTTGTGCAGTGCAGGACTGGGCCCCCCACAGGAATCCACTAACCTGTTGATTTTCTCATTCTGAGAGTGCTCCCCATCATCAACAGCGCCCAGCGGGAGCATCATCACACTCTTTTGGATGGTATCCTGGAATATTCTGGCAATTGGTATGGTTGATCCATCCCGGATCATGTCTGGCTCTGTTCCAAACACTGAAGCACAGGGAAAGAAGGCATTTGAATAAAATAATGACAAGACTGGGGCGCCTGGGTGGCTCAGTCGTTAAGCATCTGCCTTCGACTCAGGTCATGATCCCAGGGTCCCAGGATCGAGCCCCACATCGGGCTCCCTGCTCCGCGGGAAGCCTGCTTCTCCCTCTCCCACTCTCTCTGCTTGTGTTCCCTCTCTCGCTGTGTCTCCCTCTCTCTCTGTCAAATAAATAAATAAAATCTTTAAAAAAAAATAATGGCAAGACTATCCCTAGTCATCTTCTCAAATGTAGTGTTTGCTCTATCTTTCCCTTTTTCTTTTTCTTTTTCTTTTTTATTTAACCCTTAAATTTGGTGCCTGGGGTAAGTAAGCTTCTTGATACCATGCAGTTTATATTCTAAAATAGTCAATAGAGTCAGGTTGCATTCTTTACAATTACCTACTTCAAAAAAAAAACTTTTAAATAAAATTTTTATTTTGAATTATAGATTTTATAGAAAAGTTGCAAAAATAGTACAGAGAGAGTTCCTATATGTTCCTTACTTTACTTTCTGTAATGTTAACATCTTATATAACTATTGTACAGTTATAAAGAATAGGAAGTTAACATCAGAATAATATTATTCACTCGATTCAGACCTTATTTAAATTTCACCAGTCCTTCCCTTCTGCCATTCTCAGGATCCAATCCAGAAGCCCACACTGTGTTTTGTCACTGCTTCTTACTCTCCTCTGGTCTGTGACAGTTTCTCCGTCTCTCCTTGTCTTTCATGACCTTGACCTCTTGAAGAGTACGGATCAGTTGTTTTGTAAACTGTCTCTTCATTTGGGTTTGTTTGATATTTTCTCATGATTGGAAGAGGTCATGCATTTCTAGCACAAGCATTAGAAGACAATGTACCTCCTTTTATGGTTGCTTCATGCATTAAATATTTGGAAAGTGGGACTTACTTGGTTTTGTAACCAGTATACAAATAAACAGCGGTATTCAACTGTCACCTGAATGGTGCAGTGTTTCTGCTCTACTGTCAAGGTATCCCATGAAATAGCTTTAACGGATATCCTAGGGCCTAAGGAACGATGGCTTCAAACCTTCCAGGCAAGAAGTTGAGTTGTCAGTGATGGAGTAGAGATGCAAAATAAAATGAAGACACAAATGATATCATGCCATGTCTTCTTTATCCACAGAGCAAGGTGTGAATGTGAGTAAAGATGATGCACCTTGTTGGAAGAACTGGTTTCACACACAATAAACCAAAAGGTGCCTTATGCTTTCCTGCAAGAGTATTCCAGGTCTTTACTGTTGACCTTGACATTTCAATCACACATCACTCTTCAGCTGGGATTACATTTACCTTCCTAATAACTTTTCTCCCTCCGTTCTTGACTTCCAAATTTTACTGGTATAATACTGCTACAGCTGGGAGCAGGAGGAAAGATTATGCAGAGAAGTAGGGCTCTAAGTCTCAGACCTGTCCTCTAATTTTTAATGTCTCTGTCCTTTGTACAGATAAGATGTTAGTGCTCCCAGATGGTCTGGACCTCCAGTCCCAGCTCTGCTCTGTTAGGGATGCAGCCTGAGGCCTCATCTGCGATAAAGTACCATAAGTCATATAAACATGTGTCAGGGTTGCCCCGCCTGGCTTTTGGGGACACCCTGAAAGTCCCCCTGCCTTTCAGAGTCTGCTATGTTGCAGTTGTTGGCAGTGTCCCCTTCCAGCTGCAGGAACCAAAGGAACTGGATATTCCTTCTCCCTGCCCAGGCAGCCAGGGCCCAGGTATGTGTCCTGTGCTCACCAACCACATGACCCTGCCCAGGACTTGGAAGCACATGCAGTTAAAACAGGCGCCACCAAAGAAATTCCAAATAAAGCTAGGCTGCTTTCTCTATCTCTGGGGAAGCAAGAGTGGCACTGAAAAGACCACTGGTTTTAGAGTCAGATAGGCTGGAGTTTGATTTCGGTGTTTGGTAATTTTTTTTAATTATATAAAATTTTATAAAATTATAAAATGAGCATCCCAGGAAGCCTCTCTGTGGAAATGGCAGGTGGCCTGCAGTGGGGCTGTTTGCATCAGAACTGGACCCCCCAGAGAGTGGAGATTAAAGACCCAAACCCTGTGAGGCTGGGTCCCTGGTTAGCCCCCACCAGGGTGAGGCTGGCTCTTAGGGAATGCCCTGCCTTTATTTAATGGGTCTCGCTTCCTGTTCCCTACCTCCTGCTGGCCTATGGCCATGAAAACCCAAACCTCCCTGTGACCAAAAAGAACAAGTCCCCTCAGGGCAGTCCAGTGTCAGCTTTCTTACTCCATTAAATTGTAGCTCCTCTTTTTTTTTTTTAATAAAATTTTTTTTTAGAGAGAGAGAGCCCATGCGACATGCGCGAGTGCAGGAGGGGTGAGGCAGAGAAAGAAGGACAGGGAGAGAATCTCAAGCAGACTGCACTGAGCCCAGAACCCGGAGCCCGACTCAGGGCTCGATCCTACAATGCTGAGATCGCGACCTGAGCTGAAATCAAGAGTCGGATGCTCAACTGATGGAGCCACCCAGGCGTCCCTAGCGCCTTCATTTTTAACCCCAGATCTCCTATACTTTCATCCAAATTCAGCTATGCCTTTTAAAGGACATTTTTATATGTGGGTCATCATTTTCACAAGTATCAGGGGCTCACAAGTCCGTCATTTTGCCCCAAATTCAGGCTTCCAGACATGAACCCAGCTTTGCCACTTCCAACTGGGTGCCCTTCATCCCCCCAATTCCTTCATCTCTTGCAGACTTAGTTTGTAAACTGGGAAAGGCTGTGGGGAGGGGTCAGGAGACTGTATGAAGAGCCCTGGGCAGAGCTGTTGACTTTCAGTAACAGAGCCTCTCTGAAAAGGAGAGCTAAACCGAAATTCTGAATGAGCCTGCTTTCTCCACTGCCCCACCGGGCACCGCGCCCTGGAACCACTGAAAACTGGCAACTCGAGGCATCGCACGTCTAACCTGTTTTGATGGCTCTTTTTGCTGCAAGATACTGTTTATCTTTAATATTTGCGATCCATGGCTGTAGTCCTAGCGTCATAGAAACAGCCATCTGGTTGGAACTATTTCTTTTGGAGAATATATATTCAAGATGCTGCTTCACCTGAAAAGGAACATTTTCAGTGGTAAGAGAAAATTTCAAGTTATTCTCCCGTGCAGTAGTCTTTCATCAAGAAACTGAAATCCCAGCCCAACAAATTCGAGTGTCGTGATTTTACCCTCATTCTCGCAGAGGGCCTCTGGGACTGAGAGCTTCAGCACTGAGAGAAACACTGGTCTCACGCCCCTTCTCTCTGTGGACCCTCCACTCCTCAGCCCTGCGCCCGCCCCATCCTGACCACAGTGTCAGATCGCTAATGTTTGGTAATTATGAAACACAATACAACTTCTCAATATGAATATCCCTCTTTTCGGATTTGTCAGTACCTTAATGACTATTTTGGGAATATTAGGCATTTGTTACTTCCTGAAGGGGGGGGGCAATTCCAAACTAGGCTATAAAGGAGCCTTTTGTCAGCATCCTTCTCTGTCCCCTGGGCTCCATTCCAGTGGCCACCATGGAAATCCTCCCAAGAAAAACTCCACATTGGGAAATATGGGAAATATTCCTCCCATTCATTCCTTCGACAAACAATTGTTGAATGCCTGTCATATTGGCATGAATGTTTCTAGGTGCTGGGATCACAGCTGTGAGCAAGACCAAGGTGGGGGTGGGGCTGGGGCTGGGGGCTCCCCTGGTAGAATCCATTTGTTGTAAGAAAGAGAAACAATACATCCAAAATGGAAGGGAAGGTGGGGAGAAAACAGGGACAGAGACAGGGAAGGAGGGCATTTTAGGATGTAATTAGCACTAAGAAGACAATAAAAGAGGTCAATGGGAGATAGAGATTTGGGATGAGGTGTTCTTGGAGCTCATTTATTCAGAGCCTACTTTCTGTTGAACTTGAGGTAAACTGATGATAGGTTGATAATTTAGACATTAAACTCCTTCCAGATAACATTTTCATTAGAGTGGCTGCTTTCAGAGTGTTGACTGCAAACACCAAGGGCAAACCAACTATGGGTTTGAGTGTTTCCAGCTCCATCCGGCCATAGGCAGTCAGCTTCTCCATCTGTGTGTAAACCAATCTTGCCTTTATGTCAACTGTTTAATGTAAAAATATGTCCCATCACTCCAGCTCCAAATGGTTATTTATCTGACTACTGTAATTGCATATAATTACAGAAAGAGATTTTTACAGAACAAAAATTATATTGGTTTCTTGACATTTGTTCCAGTCCCTTTTATATTGGGGGGAAAAAATGGAACTTCAGTGCTAACAACTGAATAGCTTACTACCCTGGGATGCGACACTCGAAATGTGCCATAGTGAGAACAACGCACATTTGTTACCTGTTTTTCCACCACAGATGTATTCATGTGAGGGACCAGACGGATTGAAAATTTTCCTATAACTTGGCCAGGGATGACTGTTTTAGCTCCAGGCTCATCAAATGCGCCCTCAATCCCATGGATTGAAAGAGATGGGTACCTCCATAGGTGCATTAGAATCTCCTCCTGAATTCACATAAAATTATTTTACTATGTAAAAGATTGTTCCATTAAAACTCTGTTGAATTGCATTGCTTGTATCGCCCATTTCTGTACATCTCTGACACCACTCATGACAAGTTAATTATCACCTTCCTTAGACATGGCTGGACTATAACACAAGCCTTTCCCCTCTGGCCCCGAGACCCGCTGCTGCCCCCCGCCTGACCGAGCTGCTCCGCGGACGCGGGCCCCTCACTGCCTCAGCTCCGCAGTTAATAGATGGCAAAGGGGCTTTCAGAATTTGGGGCTTGATTAGAAATTTCTATCCCCAGTCACCGTGATGATCAGTTGCATAGGAAACACATTTTCTTTTTCAGAAGACTTCAAAGAACTCTGCATTATGTTTGAGCCACTTTTCTTCCCTGCTACAGCCAACACAGGGCTGGTCCGAGGGAAGAGATCTACTTCACAAAAATCAACTCGACCACTTCTGTTGGGCATGATTCTCCCTCTCCTGGCAGCCCCCCAGAAGCAGTCTGAGCCAACACACACCATAGCAGGCAAAGGTTTTAAAAAGAAGAAGATAGGGAAAGAAAAACTTCCAAATTTGCCAGAAATGAATGCTTTGGGCTCTGGCTTCTTTCTTACACTGCGGCAGCGATGTAGCAATGTACAGATTAGCCCCAAAGGCTCTTAATTCTGTCTATTGAAATGAAGACTTAGGAGTCTTGGAGCTAGAATAGTCTCAGACTGTTCTCAGTCTTTAAGCAGAGAGGAAGCACGGAAGCTGAAGGCCGGCATGGGATGGAGTCCAAGAAGCCGACTTGGAAAAGCACATCTGTGAACTGAGTGATGGCCCCTGGGTTCCATGCCCGAGGCCAGTGCCACCAGTCAGACCCAGATAAAGTTCTGGCGCTCTAGACCTGAGGGAGGTGAGTGACTGTGAAAGTGAAAATCTGCCTCCGAATCAACATCCGCTTTCAGTCCTGACATGTGCAGATTTGCAGCCCCCACGGTTGAGGAACAGGAGAAATAGGATTTATTACTGTCACTCCTCTTTCAGGACACCATACCTTGGTGTCAAACAGAAATCTCTTAACCTGGACGCTCTTCCGGTATTCTTCTAGGTCCAGATCGATGGCTTCATACATCTTTCTCTCCTCTTCAGTAAGAGGGGCCACCTGGTCATAGATTCCAGGGATCAGAATATGACCAGAGGAGTCTACAAGGCTACCTGCAAGGAAACAAAGTCAGGTCGAAGTTATGAGTGTGCTGACGTTTTCAGACCCATTTCAATGTCCACCTTGTCAATGGCGAGATGGAAACACATAATTGGCTGTGACTTACCTATATTACATAAGTCCTCAATTATACCTTCTGTCTCATAGATAAGATTCCTTTTGAAATTTTAATTTATCCTGAGTTAAAAAGTAATATATGTTCATCATAAAAAATCTTAAATATGTATATATATGTTATACAAACATTCCTGAGGAACTGAAGATCGTCTCTCTTTCTCAGCTTCTCTCCCCCTACACACACCATCATTTAATAAACACTCATCTTTCATCAAAAGCATAATACCCTTGAGGTCTAGCCTATGAGGCATACATCATGACCACAATTGCCTTCAGAGTGAATACGCAGGTATACTAGTCTGTTATTTATGAAAGAGTTTGGGGATTAATAGGAATGGGGGGAAATCATCAATGAATACGTACAGAGGAAGCAGAAGTGGAGATTTAGTAAACGCTGCTCACTACCTTGAGAATGTACTTATCCACGTAGCAAGTAGACTAACAGGAATGGTTAAGTGTATCCAGGGCATCTAAATTCATCCTCAGGCTGCCTGGGGCCTTTCATGCAAGTAAAGACACTTCATAAAAAATATGCTCCACATTCTTTTTTGTTTTTCAATTTTTATTTATTTGTCAGGGAGAGAGAGAAAGAGCATAAGCAGGGGAAGCGGCAGGCAGAGGGAGAAGCAGGCTGCCAGCTGAGCAGGGAGTCTGATGCGGGGATTGATCCCAGGACCCTGGGATCATGACCTGAGCTGAAGGCAGACGCTTAACTAACTGAGCCACCCAGGCGCCCCATATGCTCCACATTCTTAATGTGACTATAACTTGACAAGGTCAGAAAACTACTGCGAAGCACTGTATTTCCAAATCTTCCTGTCACACCCGACAATTACAAAGCAGGGGGTCGAAGGCTCCAGGACAACCGATGAGTTCCCCCTCATTACTAGACACCTTCTATGTTCAGGGCAAGGGATGAATGCTGGAGACAAGAGGACCTGTTAAGACCCCGCTTTCATCAGCAACAGTGCCATCGCTCACCACACAGGCTAAATGACAAGTATGACCCTCCCTAAGCCCAACAGCAGATGGTTGGGCTCTCTGTGTAGACACAACAGAATCTGAGGTAAAGACCCTACCAGAACCCACAGCAATGGCCCTAGTGTGGCACATAGTGGGTGTCCCCGCACTTTGAGATGATCCTACAAGGCAAAACCCCAAGCTTGGAGGTATCAAGGTGGCAAGATGAGAAGGGAAGGCTTCGCTGTTCTGGTTTTCAACCACATCCTCCTTAGCGTCCACTCCTGGTCCCCCCATACTTCACCCAAACTCCTACAGCTGCACTTTGGGTACGGTTTGCAGCCTGCTGTGCATGAACCAGCCTCCCTGCAGCGCTGAGTTATGGAATTCCCTGCATTTAGCCCAATGAAGTGTATAACATAGTAAATAAATGGTATAAACCTGTTAGTAAAATTCAAGTCAAACAATACATTGGGTGCCAATGATTGGGACTGGCTGTCATTGACTTGCAGGCCACCCTCTGTACCCTCACCAAAGTCAAAGTCAAACATAAAACCACCATCAAGAATACAATCACTAAGTCCTCCCCTCAGTGCACGTCCCTAAACTTCTGCTGACATTCTTCTAGGCAAGCACAGAGCTGCAAAAGTGAGTAAGAGACAGACCCTGCTCATAATCCGGCTGGAAAGACACAGGGTGAAGAAACACCTGTAGGTCCACAAACAAACAGTTGTAAAGGGGAGCCTTCTGCAGGAGCACAGGAGCAGGCCGGGAGCCCACAAGTGGGGGGAGGCACAGAGCAGCATCACGGTTGGGCCCCGGAGATCGTGTGGGACACGCCCGGCACAGCCTCGGTGGTGAGAAGAGAGGAGTGTTTGAAATGTCAAGGTTAACAACAATTAAGACCTGAAATACTCTAGCGGCCAGGATGCTCGGTGTCCATATTTTGACACTGAACTGTGACATTTTTCCTATTATTCCAGCTGGCCTTGCCAGATATTACCATGGGGGTGGGGGTCAGGAGTCATTACAGATTAGGCTGGGCTTTGAGTAGAGTGGCCTTTCTACATGCTCATTGCACTTCTCCAGCAGAACTGGCCCGGCCCAGTCCGGGGTATGGTTTTGAATCACGGATCCTGTTTTCTCAGGATGCAGGGCAGCCTTCCCAGCTGCGGGCTGGAAAGAGAGCCAGCAGACACATCTCCCGAGAGCAGAGGAATAGCATCCTCCTCTCCCTGCCCCTTCCACCCCCAGCAGAGGGTTGTTTGGTGGGGCTGTGGGACACACGGTGTCCTCCAGGCACCGCCAGGCACCGCCAGGCACCGCCACCGCAGGGCCAGGCAGTGGGAAAACGCCACACGTGTGCTGCTCATGTTCCTGCGTTCCACGTCTTGCCCCAGTTCTTCAACATTGAATGCGTTCCCATGAAAACAGGATGTTGCTGAAGGAGTTCATCTCCCCACCCCCTTCTCCTTTCCCACTTGAAATCATGATCCTCTGAACTTGATGTGATTTCTGCAGCCACTAGGGCCTCCTCGGCCAGGAGCCCAGCCAGGAAATGCATGGGAGGCAGAGAGGGTGGTGCCTATGAAAACTGCAAGCAGGAAGCAAATGTAATCCTTGATCCCCAGGAGTCCTCTTGGAATTTAACATTTTATTACTACAGGGTATTTGGTGCTTATAAGAGGGCCCTGGGCCCCGTGATCCTCCTTGCCTTGTGGCTTTTAGGAGAGTGCAGGGATTGGGAATGTCCACCAAGAGGAAAGCTCAGGAGCTGAGCACTCTGTGCAAACTGAGCATCTCCACGCCCACCACCTCCCACCTCCCAAATACACCCCAGTCTAAGTCTCTTTGAAGAGGGGGGCGGACTGGTTTCCCTGTGTCCCCCAGTGGAGACTCCCGTGCTTTTCACACAGCTGACACTCAATAAACCTTTATAATCTATTAGCAATCACAGTTATCAGGATCATGCAGCTGAGGAACTTGGAGGACAGAGAGATTAGGAACTTGTACAAGGTCACACAGCAGCAGGTTTCCTGACTAGCGTGTGGGGCACCTGCCAGTCTGCAGGGGGAGGACCCGACGGAACCAGCTCTCCTGGGACATCCTAAACTGCGGTGGCCCTGAAGGAGGGCCTATTGGGGTCAGCAAGCCAAAATGCTTGTCATCAGTGCCGAAGCTCAACTCTAGGTCCTTAGGTCTTTGTACAAAGCATATGAAAGCCATATAGATGACCCAATCCAGAATCATCTCATTATGGGTTATTTGATTTGCCTCAAAAAATTAAAGAAAGTGAAACCATATGCTTTTCATCCTGTTCATGATCCTGATCTGATTTTTCCTAGCAGAACCACAGGCATTTGTAGGACTAAATGGAATTCTATGCCTGAGTGAAACTGTACAGTCTAAGAGAATGTCATGCAACAATCATGACTGGGGGAGAGAGAAATGCACCATAAAGATCTGATGATGTTGTTCCTCAGGAAGAAAAAATTAGTTCTGATAAAACAGAAAATGAACTCCCCCCCCAGCAGCTCAAATATTGAGTTGCATGCTATCTGAATTCTTCTGGAAACATAAACACTTTAAAGGAAAATGGATTGTTGTAGTCCGTCTGAAATTATCCAGCATGGGAAATATTGTCCAAGAATAATATTTTAGGAAAACTAGAAGGCCATAAAGGAATAGATAGATGGTAGATAAATAGACAGAAAGAATAGGTGGATGGGAGATGAATGACATATAGCAGAGCTAGATAACACATGATAGGTAGACATACAGATTTTATTATTTACTTCAGGGAATGAAGGAACAAGAAGCCCTACAATTAAAGATGGTCCTGAAGACCCTGAAAACACCTCCCAACAGGTGGCCCAGGTGGGTTGATGGTGCCCAGTCTGAGACTGCCAAGGCCAAGGGGATGCAAGCGAGTGGGGCAGAGGTAAAGCTGTGTCAACACAGAAAGAAAAGAGACTTTTGCTAATCAATCCCTGTAGAGGACATGTTTTTTGGTAGTTTGTCTGCCCAAGGGGGCACGTTGTAACATTTGCATTAAGGTACCCTGTGTGCCAAGGAGACAGATCCAAGTATTGTGGGATCTGAAGCTTCCCAGAGAACGTCTTTTTAAAAAAAAAAAAAAAAAGGAACACCAAATTATGAAAATAAAAGTGAAGTATCCTTGCCAGGACTGTAAAAAGGGGCTACTCCAAGTGAGGCTCCTGAGGATGCAGCTTCCTTCCCTGTCGGGATCCAGCCTGGATAAAATCAAGAGCAACAAGATGAATCAAGGCGGTCAGTGTGGGCACACTGGCCCTCCGAAAGAGCACACACATATGCACGCCTCCGCCGGTGAACTCCAGGGGCTCTACGGGAGGGCAGGAGCAGGCAGCAACGAGTAAACCAATGGGAGTCTCTGTGCCACTTGAGGCCACAGAACTAGAAACAGGGTGCCAGGTGGTGCTGGTGTCTTTGGCATCATCTCTGGATGCCTCTCCAGAGGGGTCTCTCTGCTACTGCCCCTGAGTATGGCTAGATGTGTCACAATACCCAGTAAAAGAAAAGGGGGTGAACTGAGGAAGAGCTTCAGTCCATGAACAAACGTAATGTGGACTTAATAATCCTAAGGAACATTTAGCTGAAGTTGTGGGGGGAGCTAAGAATATGGTTTTTCTTCTATTCTACCCTTATGCAGAACTGGCTTGGAGGCCAAGGGAAGAGAAATGCACTGAGTCAAACAGAACTGTATTCTAGTAGATTCCATGATGCTTAAAAAGTGAAATGAAGGAGCGCCTGGGTGGCTCAGTCAGTTGAGCATCCGACTTGTGGTTTCAGCTCAGGTCATGGTCTCAAGGTCATGAGATGGAGCCCCACATCAGGCTCCCTGCTCAGCGGGGGTCTCCTTCTCCCTCTCCCTCTGCCTCCACCCCAAGCCTCTCTCCCTCAAACAAATAAAAAAAAAAAAAAAAAAAAAAAGGTGAAATGAAATAAGACATTACCAAGAAGAGCAACCAAATCAGCCATGGGTTCACTGAGGATACCCCCAAACGTTCCTGAATGAAAATCTCGATCTCTGCATCTCACCTGTAAGATGGGTGAACAAGAGAGGCGCTCACCTCTGAGGTGGCTCTGGCGATAGCGTTCACGTGATAGAGAACGCCCCACACTGTCCCTCAGGACTCAGGTGGCTACCTCCCAGTCACACGACTTGGACCATCTACCCCTCCCAGGTCTTCAGTTCTCATTCTTTCCCAAATCCTCGAACCTGATTTCAGTCCCCAGCTGTTCCTCTAACACAGCTCTCTCTGGGGCCAGCAGCCCCTTCTCCAAGTGGCTGAGGTCTATGTAGCCCGCCCATCTACCCTTCCAGAAACCGTCTTCTCTTTGTTCTTCTCTTGCAATTCTATTGGTGTCTCCACTTGTAACTTCCTCCCTGCCTCCCACTCTGGAGCTCAGTCCACGGCTCAGAAAAAAAACAAATGATTCACCACGGAGGGACTTTCTGGTTCTGAATTGCTGTCAGTATGAATAGAAACGTTAAAGGAAGCTGAACTGGACAACGTGCTTGGGGATCACAACCACCCTGGGCCCACTTTACAGGTAAAGAAACCGAGGCTGTGAGGTTGAGGTGTCCGCACAAGACTGCGCACCGTGGAAGCCAGAGTCCCACGCAGCCCGGCCGTGCCGGCGCCCCCCTCCTCCCCCGGCCACACACACCCGTGGGGCTCCTGCCAGGTGCCGTCCCACTCATGGCAGCCTAGCCCCTGATCAGGCAGGCAGAGTCACAAACCCCTGAATCCTCTCCCTCCGGAAAAGTGCACACAGCATAGCCGCTCCGGTTGGGAGGCTTCCTGAATTTCCCAGTCCCGAGACCTCTGGGACCCCAGGCCGTGCCTCCAGCTCAGAACTCTGCTCTCCCAAGAGCTTTCTCTCTTCCCACCAAGATCCCAGGACAGACTCCTCCCTCCACACCACCACGAATACCTCCACCCTGAAGTAGCTGTTTCCTCGCATGCCATAAGTGAGGGCTGGCTTCCTCTGGCTGAGCCACAGATTATCTGAAATAACGACGTAGTCTACACTGGAAAAGAACCGGTCCTTCTCCTTTCTGACCAATTCCTCCAGGCCAACGGAACCGGCTTCTTCCATCCCTTCAATGACGAATTTGATATTCACAGGGAGATCCTGAATCAAAATAACAACAGAACAAACCATTCTGGCAAAAAACTGCACGACTTGCCCATTCATCTTTTCATATCCAGAATTCGTTTGCATGTGACATAAATACACGAATTATTACATACATTCAATGTACGGGTTGTCCACATTCCCAACAGCTCCGTTCACAACAAAGGAGTTGTAACCAAGACAGTGAAAGGGATTACAAGGGAAGACCCTGTGTATGGCCTCCAGCATGACCCTGATGGATTCAGCGTGGACCCTAAAGGATGATTCGGGGAAGGAATTCTTGGAGGAGAAGCAACACCCACACTGTAGAGCTCTCCTGAGCCGCCACAGACACAGATGCTTTCCTCCTTCTCCCCAAAAGGAACCTTTCAAGAAAGGTTACTCGATTACAAATCTCTTTTCTGTCCTCATAATTCTGAGCATGATAAATGAGAACTCTTCCTTTTGAAAGACTGTCTAATGTTTAAGCCTCAGGATAATTTTTATTTCAAGTATCTGTTATTTTTCAGCTTTGAGTTCAATCTGCCTTTTAACTTATTCAAAGGCTTTGATCTTGCAGCAAAATGGAACTTGAGTTTTTCTCTAGTTAATATTAGGGCAAAGAATAGCTCCTTTAAAATTTTTACAATGTGCCTTTCCCCCATTTGGTTTTGATCTTTTTGTATCTTTATAATTTATAACTTCATATCTTTGAGAGCCACATGAAGAGAAGAGGTCAAAGTCTTTTCTTGGAGCATAAAACACACACAGAACTCCAGAAGTAATTTTATGCAGATAAACGGTGGCACAAACACACTAATTAGTTTGGAAGAGTGGGATTGACTCACCACAGATTAACAAAGGCAGGATGACTGGAGGATTATGTATTAGAAAGTAAGTGACCTTCGGTCATTCAGTTGGTTAAGGGCATTTGGGGATAATGATTTGTTCGAATGTATCCTTTGCATAGATTTATTTCCATGTGTCTTAAGAAGTTAAGCTAAAATTCTGAAATATTAATATTTGAAAGCTCTTTATTAACATTTAACTAGAAAACAATTGCTGAGAAGTAGCTGGATAGCTTAAGAAATTTCTGGCAAAACGTGATTAATAAAATGCAAGCCAGTAGCCCCTATGTGTTGGGGGAGGAGGACAGACCAGCTGCCAGGCCTGGGTTTGGGTGTCTGCTCTGTCACGACACCCAAGGGACCTGGGACAAGCCACTTGACCTCTTGGCCATACCTATGCAATATGGGTAATAACAGTTGTCTGACTCTTAGTAACACCATCCAGTGATGTGAGGTGCATTCAAGGGCTCAGTAGGCAACAAAGAAAGAGAGGGGCGGCGGAAGAACAGGGAAGAGACCCACCCTCGTAAAGGGCCTCGCTCGCACAGGCATTGGGGCTCCTCTGTGTGTTACCCCGTTTACTCCACTCCAGGTCCTAGTTCACAGATTAGGTCAATGAGGCTCAGAGAGATCAGCCGATTTGTCCAAGGGCAGTGAACATTTCTTATGTTTTGTTTGTGTTTATGTACGTTTCAGAGTTGAAAGTTAAAAAGCAAAGCAGATTTTGGCCTTTATACAGATTCTTTCTTATAAGTATTGCTCTCTCCCTTGAGAGGAAGGGAGGGAGGAGGGCAGGGAGGGAGGGAGGAGGGCAGGGAGGGAGGGAGGAGGGAGAGAGGGAGGAGGGCAGGGAGGGAGGAGGGAAGGGAGGGAGGGAGGGAGGAGGGCAGGGAGGGAGGAGGAGGGCAGGACCTTGTCATCATCCTCATCGTTGTCATCATCGTCATCGCCATCACCTTCATTGTCATTGTCATCATCATCACTGTCATCACCTTCATCACCATCATCAATATCACCGCTGTTGTCATTCTAGTCATCATCGTCGTCATTGTTGTCATCTTCGTCATTGTCATCTCCTTCAGTTATCATCACTGTCATCATCATCACCATTTCATTGTTGTCATTCTCATCATCATCGTCATTACGGTCATTGTCCTCATCGTCGTCATCATCATCATCCTGTCACCACTGTCCTCACCCTCATTGTCAACAATGTCATCATCATTATTGTCATCATCCTCATCATTATAGTCATTGTCATTGTCCTCCACATCATCGTCGTCATCGTCATCATCCTCACCTTCACCGTCAATGCTGTCATCATCATCATCCATCACCTTTTTGTCATTATCGTCGTCGTCATTATCATCATCATTGTCCTCATCATCACCTTCACTGTCAACATAATCATCGTCACCATCACCATCATTGTCGACATCATCCCTTCCCAAACACAACTGGTTACCTACTTCCTCCAGGGATCTGAAGGTGCTCACGGCATTAATCCACGCCAAAACAGGGCCTTTATTGTCCGTTGCTCCCCGTCCATAAAGTTTTCCTTTAAAAATAGGGGAAGAACTTTTAGAAAAGTACAAACACCTCTGCCAAGTTGAGTGAGTTAAAAACAAAGGTAGTGTTATGGGTAATCATTTTAACATTGCTTTCTATTTTTTCAGACACAAATCTTGCTCTGAGGTCACAAAGTCTGATTTCTTATGTAAAAACGTTATGGCCATCAGCTAATCAGATAATATAAACTAATTTGAAATTTACAGGTCCCTTTGGCCTTAATAGGAATTAGCTATTTTATCCAAGTTCATTGAAAAGGACCTGAGGATTTGTTGCAGAATGTCATGTAACATAGCCTCTCATTTCAAGATTTTATAATTAGTAGAAGAATGAAAAAGGGGTATGTGTGTATCTCCAGTGAAAAAGGGGTATGTGTGTATCTCCAGTGAAAAAGGGGTATGTGTGTATCTCCATTAACCTTTCTTCTTTTCTTTAAAAAACATAATTACATTTAGTATTTAAAAAAGGAAAATGTGTGACCTAGACAACTTCTTCCTCCCAAGAACTCCCATCTCGGGAGTCACTTTTGCCCAGGGGCACACATCATGTATGCATAGCTCATAGTTTCTTTCACAAATGAGAAAAAAGCCAGCCTCATTGGACAGCTGGTAGACTATGAGACTGGTAGCATTTTGTCCATTCTTAACAAGAACAGGGTAAGGCCTGGAGCTGGAGACAGGAGTCACATCTTCGATTCCTAATCCACAAAGAACCCAGCACTGATGTGTCACCGACCATCCACTTCCGTCAGCGTGTAAGGGTCTGTGAGCCACCCATCTTCCTGTCTAGCAGGCTGCACATCCAAGTGGCCATAGAAGCAAACAGTGGGTTTCTTTGGATCATTCCCCAGTTCAGCCAGGATGATGGGAGGTATCGGGAGACTCTGACCATTAGGCAGCTGAAAAAAAAAAAACAGATCACATTAAAAAAAAAAAAAAAGTTGTTTAGTTCTCCCAGAAAATTCAGACGTGACATTAGGAGTCCAGTTTCTACCCCTGAGTTTTTTTTAGAGCCCACATAATTTTTCTAATCATCATTTTATGTACCTCTAAAATGGGTACCACAAGACGCTTAATTAAAACATAAAAAATAATTAAAAGTAAAGTGCTTTCTTGGATGCATAGGGGCAAACAGTAAACTTAATCAAACACGCTCTCCAATATGAACTCAGACTCAAATGGCTTAAATTAGGTAGACGTGGTTCTGGAAGACACACACCATTCAGAGACTCATCCATGCTGAAGCAGGCAGCACCTGCGCCTGCATTAAGGCTCCCCATTTGCCACCGGGACACAGTAATAAGCAGTGATTCTGATGAAAGACTGGATCCTTTGAGAAAGGTACATTTGAACATAAGGGAAAGGACAGTTGCGGAGAAATCTGGCCCACATGTGAAGGGTATGAATAGTACGGGGAGGGGGGCTTTCCCTCCCTTACCCACCCCACTCGCTCTCCACTGCCCTGCAGTGCTGCCACGACGAGAAATCAGTAATCCCGACTTCATCTGGGACAAGATGTAATTTTTTATCTTACTGGGAATTGAGATGATGGGGCGTTTTTGAGGAGGATCGGAAGGGAGCAAGTCCCCGTCTTGCCACGCCCAAGGGCAGCCAGGGCCGATGCCCACAGAAGTGGCAGCTCGTGGTGGGGAGGGGGCCGTCCAACACCTGCTGAACACCCGGGTCCACGGAGTCCACGCTGGCTCCCAGGCGCCGGAGCCTGTCCGCAGCCAGCGTCATCATTCTGAAGAGCTCCCGTCTGAGGCGGGGCTGGGGCTGAACCGAGTCGCTCTCCACAGCCACCCACTCCTTAAGCGTCTGTAAGGAGAGGTGACAAGGTGACTCGTCCGAGGGGGGCCGACCACGTCAACCACGTCCACTCTAGGGCACGTGGCTCGAGGCAGGAGGCACCAAATCCTCAGCACGGGCTGCCTGCCCCGAAGACTGAGCCAGCAAACGCAATCTTCGTCAGCGACCGCAGACGGGCTGGTGTCATCAAGAACCCAGAGGCAGAGACATCTGCTTCATGAAGAACAGGGCAGGACAGGCTGGGGAGAAGGCCGCCTTCCTGGACACCTGGGCCTGTGCCTCCTTGGACCCACCACTTCTCGTTTCTTAGGGACCGGGAGCAACTGGCTGGCAGCCCGTACTCGGGATCCTGGGCCTCCCACAAAGGCCCCTGGACACCTCTGGAACTCGCAACTCAGTCTAAGCAACCACACAGTGGCCTCGGCTGGGCTGCACGGTGCCTGTCGGCTTTGTGGTCATCCCCCTGCCCCCCCACCTCCAGATCCCGGGAGGCAGTGTGCCCCAGGGCTACACCTTGGCTCCTGCCCTGGGTTCGGCCCATTCGAGTTGTATGACTTGCGGATGCTCCTCAGGCTCGTAGCCTTGGCTCCCTCCTCCCTATGAGGGTAGTGCTCTCTGCCTGTGGGTCATTGTCAGCGTGAGGCTGCCACACAATAAGAAATACCTATTTTGGTCTTTGTCCTGGGCTCTTGGCCAGAGCCCCTACAACCTTTACAACTTCCCATGCCATAAACGTGCTAGGAGCATCTTTTGTTCAGAGATTCAGTCTCTGTCTTGGGTTCCTAACACAGAGCTCCTAACTCCCTTGGAACTTCCTGGGAGACAGGAGAATATCTTGTTGTAATGAGGCAGTTCTAGCGGGCTCCTGGACAGGGGCTGGTCACCAGAAAGACCAAGCTGTGATTAGAAGCTTGGGGCTCCCCACCCCAGCCACATCCTCTGGGGAGGAAAGAGGGGCTGGAGATGAGTTAATAATCACTCATGCCCACATGATGAAGCCTCCATAAGCGTCCCTGAAAGTATGGGGTTCAGAGATCTTCCAGGTTGGTGACTGCAGCCTGGGAGAGTGGTACACCCCAACCGCAGCAGGACAGAAGGTGCCTCCAGACCCTGCCCAAGTGCCTCTTCATCCGGCTGCTTGTATGTACGCTTTATCATGTCCTTTATTACATAACAAATGGCAAACGTAATTAAGTGTCTTCCTGAGTTCTAGAGCTGTTCTCTAGCAAAAGATGGGACCAGAGCAGGGTTCATGGGAGCCCCGACTTGCAACTGCTTGGAACATGTAAATAACGGGGGGCTCACTGCCTGAATGTGACTGGCATCCACTGTTGGCGGTGGGAGTAGGAGGGTGACACTCACACCAGGCAGGTGGTGTCATAAGGGGGTCGGACTGTGGGATGCCCCTTTGGTGTCCCGAGAACTAGACAGTTGCTTAATGTGTGGAAAAGGCACACATCTGGCCACAGAAGCGAGGAGAGCCATCGAAGAAAACAAGCATTCCTTTCCGTGAGGATTGGAGAAGGTGACGTGCATAAGACTTAGCGCAGTGCCTGGCTGCTGGCGGGTGCTCAAGAAACTCCGAGTAATATTGAATTACCAATAATAACCAATCACATCCCAGTACTGGGTCTCGAGTTGCTTATACTGGGATAGCCACCATTTTTATTAAAAAACCATGCATACTTTGGGTGACTGATCTTGGATTCCCCAACTTATTTTAGTCTGATCTCTGTCCTGGTTGTAGCACTTTAATTTTTATTATGAAGAAATTCATTTAGCCTAAGGAATATTGTGTTTTACACACTTAAACTGGAATTCATAGAACAGATGCTGCCATGTGGTCCCTAAAGGTAATGGATTGGGTACATGTGAGGAAGTTGCAGAAAGGAGAGTTTTGGCTCAAAGACCCAAATCAACATATCTCGCCCACACACTGTCCCTCTCCCTCTGCTCATTCCAACCTACAGCCAGAGTCCCCACTCGGTCTTCAAAAACCCAACAGGCATTATGTCAAGTCAATACGCCCACGAGCACGAGGAAGGATTCCATGAAGGTCAAGTCTAGGACCTGTGGCCTAGCCATTCAGCGTTGTGTGATAGCAGGAGACATGAACCCTTGACTGTTGCTAACATTGGCTGGTTGCTCCAGTATACATATACTGAACACAAATTCATGGCATGGGGGCTCAGGGGACAAGATCCCGTGACATGTCATGGAGTCCCCGGGCTGTGGTGGACTCAACTCACCCGTGTGCCAGGGGGCAAGCGGGTCAGCGGAGAAGAAGGGGACTTGCAGGCTGATGGAGGCTACGGCCCTTCCCTGCCCCCACCCTTCTGCTCCCAGACCTCCCTCTCTCCTTGCTCCTAGCCCTTCGGCTCCATCTCTTCTCCCCTGAGATGTCTGCCCACACCACAGGCAGTTTGCCATGTAGTGAGTTCGGAATGGAGCAGAGGATTATAAGGGAGGAGATAAAGTGCACACTGCACAAGGACTACAAAACACCTTTGACATTGAACTTGGCAGAACTCGGGACCTAAAGCTTGCTGTAGCCAGGTGGTATTACTCTGGGATGGTGTCATGGGGGGTGGGGGTGGGGGATGAGTCGCAGGAAGGCTTTGCAGGAGGAGGGGACCTCAACAAGGGCCCCTCTAACGTGGGGCATGGGCACTCTGATGATGGTCTAGGGTCAGCCTAAGCTCAGCGGGCATCATCGCTACCCAGACAGCCCTGATCAACACGCTAGGAATGCCCTCTCCAGGAGGAAAGGCTGCGGAGGGATCTCTTCCCTAAATGTAACAAATATTTATTAGTTTAACTCAGTGAGGAGCCATGGGCATTTTAAATGGAATTAAGTTTTGAGGCAAAAATAAAAAAAAAAAAATCCACACCTCCCAGCAAATAAGCATTCACCCAGATACCCAAAGGTCATGTCACGCAAGCATTTTGTGGGTGTAGTTTCTCCTACCTGTACAAACTCGTTCTGATGGAGATCGATGTACCGGAAGGCCTTCTCCGACAGCCCAGCGGGCGGGGAGGACGGACAGAACATGCCTCTCTCAAGCAGCAGCAGGGAGGCAAGGAGAGAGGACACCTGGAGTGGACCACAGGGGAGGGACAGCAAAAATAAATACCGGATTTTGGACTCTTCCAACCTCTCGAATAATTCAAGAAAGCTTATGTTATCCAACACAGCTGCTTCCAGTCATTTGGACTAAAATAACAAAGGTAGCAGAACAGGAAATATATTCTTTGCTTTATCTTCCCCGAAATGCTTCATTTTCAACGCTTAAGAATTTCCATAAGACAGAAACCAAGAAAACAAGCCCGTCTTTCAACGCCACGCTTGGGTTGTTCCTGCCGTGGAATCGTTCCCGTCGGCTCCCTTCCTGAGCAGGTAAGTCAGCGCCCTGTGCCCAGGCGGCAGGGGCAATATTTGTCAGAGAGATTAGTGGGAAGCACTTCAAAACAAAACAAAACTTTTCTGTGTGATCAACCAGTTTACTAGAAAAAAAAATATTCTGTAAGGACTCTCTAAAATCCTGTGTGGTCTTGTGGGTTTCTCCCATCTGCTCCTGAAGGTATAGGACCTTCCACAGAAACTCCCAAGCCCTGTTGCGATACATAACACGGAAGGCCTGAGGCTCACATAGACGCTGTTAGCCACACTCTCGGCTGGGAGGCCCGGCCCTATCTCTTGTCTTCCCGCAAACCCTTCTGGCCTCTCTGCTTCCATCCCTGAGCGGCCCCTAACTTCCCTCGCCTGTAAATGTGGGACCTGCCAGAGACCCTGGCCTCCCCCCTCCTCCCTCCCCTGCAGCCCCTCTCCAGCCATCCCTCCGCCCCCATGGTGGGCTCCAGGCTGGGCTCAGAGCAGAAAAACTGGGTCCACAGAAGGGTAGGCTGACCAGGTTCCGAGCTAAACTAATGCTCTTCTTCCCGCCCAGCTCTTCCTTCTGGATTGTTGTACATTTTTACAATAGAACCATTTGAGATGTAGGCTGCTTCCTCCCTTGGCCTCTGCTTCCAGGCGCTAGCACGGCCGAGGTGAGGACTTGTGTCTACAATACGAGAAACTGCAACTCAATAATAAAATACAAATCAACCCAGTTTAAAAGTGGGCAAAGGATTTGAAGAGACATTTCTCTCACCAATGGCCAATAAGCACATGAAAAGACGCTCAACCTCATTAGCCATCAGGCAGATGAAAATCACTTCACACCCACGAGGATGGGTTAAAATGGAGAAGTCCTACAACAGGTGGGGATGTGAGGCGGCAGCCCCTTCCTGAGCAGGCCCCCGACTGCATTCCTCCTGGCAGCCGAGAGGTAGAGCTAATCCAATGGCCATCCACGGACAAGTGGATACATAAGACGTGGCGGCCACACACAAGGGGATGTTGCTAAGCCACGAAAAGAGATGGAGGGCTGACCCACACCACGGCACCAACAAACCTTTAGCACACAGTGCGAAGTGAAGGAAACCGGACACAAGATACTGCAGATGGTATCAGCCCATGTATGTGGAATGTCCAGAACAGGCAGATCCTGAGACGGCGGGGTGGGGGGACCTTGCAGGCTGCCGAGGCCTGGGAGGATTGGGGGAAATGGGGAGCGAGTGCTGATGGGCAGGGGTTCTTTCTGGGTGGCTGGAACGTTCTGAAATTGTGACGGCTACACAACTGGATATACTAAAAGCCAGTGGAGTGTGCACTGAAGTGGGTGAACTGTAAGGCACGTGAATTATAGTGCAATACAGTCGTTATAAAAATAGCAATCATAAATAGAAGCACTTATTCAATAATATGTCACCGAGTTGGAGAAATACCCATAAAGGAAGCAAAGTAGTGGGTAAAAATAAGAGAAAAGGGGGCACCTGGGCGGCTCTGTAGGTTAAGCGTCTGCCTTCAGCTCTGGTCATGATCCCAGGGCCCTGGGATCGAGCCCCGTGTCGTTGTCAGGCTCCTTGCTCAGCGAGGAGTCTGCTTCTCCCTCAGTCCCTACCCCTGCTCATGCTCTCTCTCTCTCTCTCTCCCAAATAAATAAATAAGATCTTAAAAAAAAAGGGGGGGGGGTAAAAGGGAGCCAGGCTCATTCATGAACAGATTAAGAATTTAGCCCAGTAGATGGTGCCAGTGGGCCATTGACGAGCTCCCTCGGCCTCCTATGCTGAGAAGAATGAGGCTGGATTTAGCTAAACTCAGCTAAGCAGAGCCAAAAGCCAAAGGTTACAAATAAATCCCAAAGAAATGAGTCCTCAGACCCGCACTGGCAGGAAGATGGAGCTCTGGGCACCCAGGAAAAGCCCTTTGAAAGGGAGTAGGCTAATTTTTTGCAGCTGATACACCTAAATCAATATTTGAACTTTTATTATTCATTTGTTCAATTTCCATTAAAAATTATTTGATGCGCCTCTCTGATAAAAAATAAAAAGGGGAATTTGAAGAAGAAAAGGGAGCCACGGGCAAAGAAGGAAAACCGTGACCGCAAGGACCAAGAATATTTCCAGTTTCAGTGGGAATGGCCTCCTTCCCAGTGGAAGCCACAGGCCAAGGACTGATGTTCCAGAAAGACTGGTCCTGCACACTTCACCCCTCACCTTCCCCTCCCTGCAGAGCCAACAGAGCCCTGCTGTCCTTCGCCCTCAGGCCCGCGGGGATTCATTGGGCACCAGCCCCGCCTTTAAGATCCTGGGTGGGACCCGGGCTGCGGATCAGCCCCTCTGGAGTCTCTCCTGTTCCCTTACCTTTCCGCTTGTCTCCTTGTGTTACAGTCATGCCTGACCTTGAACTAATCACCCAACAAAATCCTGTAGATATAGAAAGTTGCCAGAGAACTGGAAGGTGAAGCATGGGGTCAGGGGGGCAGAGCCGGGAAGGCCCTGGGCTTCCGTTTTCTTGGGGAGAATAGGTAGTCCAGCCCTGCAGGGCCCGTCCCAGAGGAAACCTTGCTTGCTCCACAGGCTTCTGCTAATTCCAGCTGGCTGTTCTTTGATTGGGAACAAATTTCCAAGCGCCCTGTGCTGAATCTTAGTTTTAAACACTTTACCTTTTAAGACTTCTTGAAGTCATGTCCAGGTCTGCAGTGTAACCACCCCTGGGCCCAATCCAGCTCCACCTCCTTAGAGCCTCCCCCACCCCACCATCCCCCCACCCCACCTACTGCCAGGTGGCCCCTGGGACGCAGGCCTGTTTTCACTGTCCTCTCCCAGCTCCAGACAACAACTGGACAAAGTTAGATGCTCCGTGTGCTTAGCGGAGGGCAGCCTTGAAATCACCATGGGCTGCCTTCAGAAGGGCACTTCCACCACCCACCTGGAACAAAGCAGGTGCCCTAAAAGGGGTCTGGGAATGGGGTAAGCTGTTGATGAAGCCCACTCCCTCCCCATTTGCTACTGTTGTTGGATTTTGAAGTTGACTAGAATCAACAATAGAAAATGAAAACAGGGTTGCCTCCCAGGGTAGACAGCCTAGACAGCCGGACTGAGCTGGCTTCCCCCCAGGCACACAATGCGGGGGAAGCCAGAGGCCAAACCCTTTTCTGCCTGTAAGAAACGTTAGTGCCAGAGTCTACCTGCACACCAAGAATTCTACTTACCGAGTCTCCTGGAGTCCGGCTTGATTGTCTTACAGAGGCTGATCTGCCCCGTGTCTGCTTGGATGGATTTGTTATAATGCAGAAAAAATGCTTGAGTTGCCTATTTTATCTCACTATGACAGGATTAGAAATAAAATGCCAACCCCAAACCAGGCTTTCCTGGAATGTGTTAATTCCCCTGCAGGAGCTGAACTGAACCCAGTGATCCTGCAGAGATTAACTAACTCTGCAACAAGTCCCTAGAAGCCTGAGCAAGCCCGGGGCGTGGCTTTCAGAAGGGAGCCTGGAGGCAGTCTAGGATGAAGGAGAGGGTTTCAAGGAGCAGAGCTCCCCCAGAAAGTCCCAAGAACGGCCAGTTTCTCCACCAGAGTAGGCCAGAAGCCAGGGGTGGAGGAGGAGCTGGGTGCAGTCATGGGGCGCAGGTAGGGCGGGCAGGAAGCCTGCCCCAGCGCCCTCGGGGCCCCAGGCTCCGTACACAGTGCTCCATCCTGGCCACTCCCAACTGCAGGGGTGCATGTTCTCTCCCTCACTCCGGTCTTCGCCCCACGCAGGCCGCAGGGAAGGAGAAAGCGGGCATTGTCTGCCCGTGATGTCACCTCAGAAAGGCCTCTTGTGACCCTTTTCATTCCCTCCAGTGTGGCCAGGGACCTGGGCCTGTCCAAACATCAGCCAGAGAGGCGGTCCGGCTCTGCGCCGCTTCCGAAGCCGGCTGCCCTCTGGAAACGGGCCAGTTCACAGCGCGACGGCAAACAGCCGGAGAAGGGGTGAAGGAGAGAGCCAGAGGCCTTGCGGGCGTGCCATGTCGCCGAGGTCACAGCCTGGAAGGCACGGTGCCCTGACGGCAGTGTCATCCCGTGGAGCTGGAGGGTCTCCTCAGAGGCAAGGACCGTAGCCGGGCGTGGCCTTCAGTGCTGAGGCTGAAGGGTGTGAAGCCCAAGTCATCAGTGGCGCTGTGTCCGGCAAGGCCAGCGTCCTCTGCTAAGATCGCCTGGCTGTGGTTAGCCAGGAACCACTGTTTTCTCTTTCTTCCTTTAAATCTCATTTGGTGGACTTTTCATACGATTGTGAACAGGATAAATCTGAACCACCTGCAGGAGGGACTGCCTGATCTCAGGGCACAGCAGATGAAGTCAGGGTTCTGGTGGCAGCGGGAACAGAGAAGCATCCGGAAGCTCCAGCAGGAGGAGGAGGAGGGAGACGGGACGAGGGCGGTGTGCACGGAGATGCTGAGGAGACCCGGATGGCCCGGAGCATAAAGGGAAGGGTGGATCCCAGGCCAGGCCACCTCTTGGAATAGTAGTACCGCAGGCTGTGAACGAACAGTTCCACAAATGAAAGTTCTGGAACAAGGGCAGCCCGAGGAAAGGGCAGGAATGTCTCCATCCCCCATGTTAGTTCCCTAGGGCTACTGGACCAACGGCCCACAGGAACGGATTCTCTCAGGGTTCTGCACGTCGGAAGTTAGAAATCCCTCTGAGGGGGCACCCGG